GTAAAATTAAGTTGTTGACAGTGTTGCTCAAGACGTCTATTTCCAACTTTTTGTCCATTTGTTCTATCATCACTGAGAGAGGAATATTGCATCTTGCAACTTTGATTGTGGGTTTATCTGCTGCTCCTTTCAGTGCCATCCATTTTTGCTTTAATCTATTATTAGATGCAGACATCTTTAAGATTGTTGTTTTAAAAAAATTTAAAAAAAATTTTTGGTACCGGGGATCGAACTTGGGTCCTTGTGCTTGCACAGCAGACAGCAAAACCACTGAGCTAAATCCCTGGCCCTAAGATTGTTATTTTTGATAGATGTATCCCCTTAGCCTTGTATAATCATTATCCCCCAAAATATTCCTTATCCCAAGGAATATCAGTGTAGCTATTCCATCTTACTTATGGCTAGTATATCTTTTCCATCATTTCACATTTAATTTATTGATATCTTTATATTTAATATTTCTTTTAAAAATGAGCGCATATTAATTATACAAGAGAATGGGGATCATTATGACTTTTTTTTTTTGGTACCAGGGATCGAACTCGGGACCTTGTGCTTGCAAAGCAGGCAGCGGAACCACTGAGCTAAATCTCCGGCCCCCATTGTGACATTTTTCCACACGCATATGACATACTTTCTTTTTTTTGTACTGGGAATCGAACTCAGGACTTTGTGCTTGCCAGGAAGCCATGGCACCACTGAGCTACATCCCCAGTCCCCTATATGACATACTTTGATCATATCCACTTCCCCATTACCTTCCTTTGTCCCTTGCCCTTCTCTCCCCACCCCTTCCTCTTCTCTGATAGTCTCCTTTCTATTTTCATATCGTCTTTTTCTTTTTTTTTTTTAAATTCTTTTATTGGCACATTTTAGGTATACAACACATTTACATTTCTCTTTGGGAACTTGTACCAATATCATCTTTTTCTAGATTCCACACATGAGAGAAAATGTGATACTTGTCTTTCAAGCCTGGCTTATTTTACATAACACAATGATCTCCATTTCCATACATTTTCCTGCAAATGGATCATTTTATTCCTCTTCCTCCTCCTCCTCCTTCCCTGGGGATTGAACCTAGAGCCTTTGCACTGAGCTACAACCCCAGCCCTTTTTATTTTTTATTTTGAGACAGGGTTTCACTAAGTTGCCAAATTTCCCCAGCTAGGTTTGAACTTTTAATCCTTCTGCCTCAACTTCTCAGAGTGCTGGGATTACAGACATGTACCACTATACCTGGTTTCATTCTTCTTTATATAGAGACATTTTATTTATTTATTCATCTGTTGATAGGCAACCAGGCTGATTCCATAACTTGGCTATTATGAATTATGCTGCACTAAACACAGGTGTGTAGGTATCTCTGTAGTGTGTTAACTTTGATTCCTTTGGGTATACACTGAAGAGTGGTATAGCTAGATCCCATGGTATTTCTATTTTCAGTTGTTTAAGGAGCCTCCATACTGATTTCCATAGTGGCTGCACTAATTTCCATTCCGATGAATAGTGCTGGAGGGTTCCTTTTTTCCTGAATCCTTGCCAGCATTTATCATTTGTTTTCTCTTGATGACAGCCATTCTGACTGGGGTGAGTTGAAATCTCAAAACCGTATAGTTTTACATTGCATTTACTTCATGACTAAAGATATTGAACAATTTTTTGTATAATTATTGGCCATTTGTATTTCTTCTGAGAAATGTCTATTCAATTCTTTTGCTGATTTATTGATCAATTGATTACTTGTTCTCTTGGTGTTAATTTTTCAGTTCCTAGAAGTGGGCATATTTCTTATTACTGGCTGCAGTGTAGGGTCCTGAGTCAAGCCAGCCTGTAGTTGCTTTGGCCTTAGGTTCTGTTATTGCTATACCTACCTTCTGTGCACCATGGGCTTCACATTTCTCCAGGGGAGGTGCTGCTACTTTATGCTTCATATGAGGCCTTGAGTCTTGCAGATTTTTTCTCTATTACTGCTCCATTCAGCCATGCATGCATGCAACATAGAGGGAATCTCTCTGTGACTTCTAGCCCCTTCCTCAAGTTAAACTGCTGTTCCTTTTTATGTGGTGCAAGATTCGTGGTAGAGGCAATGGGTCCTTGGTTCTCTTGCTCTAGTTTCAGTCTTAGACAGTCCTGACCTTGAGCCCCATGAGGAGGGCTTTGTTTCTGTTCCTCTCTAGTTTCTGACAGCTTCATCTCCTATATAGTGCAGATCCTAGAGCACAGAGACTTCTGTCCCTCTCTCCCATGGGGACCAAACTCTGCCTCACTGGTGGGGGGATCTTGAGTGTGAATGAGATTCCTGTTCTTCCAGCAGCAGCCGCAGCAGCTGCAGCAGCAGCAGCAGCAGCAGCAGCAACAGCAGCAGGAGGAGGAGGAGGAAGAGGAGCCAACACTGTCCCCTGCTTTGTATCAGTGCAGGGTCCTGGGCACTAGTGGGTTTCCTGTTCCTCACCAGTGCCAAATGGTTTTTGCTCAGTATCAGTGTAGGGTGCAGGTGGGGCCTTCCTACTCCTTCATAGAGGCAGTGGACATTTGCCTAGCAGCAGGTCAGGAACTTGTGGGATGGGGGTCTCCCATCAATCAAGGCTGTGGGGCAGATATCTCTGCAGCAGTCAGCCACCACCTCATACTCTTGCAGGGGCCATGCTCAGAGAGGCTTTCTAGGCCTTCCTTCTCTAGCCTCAAACCTTTCCAGGTCCTACCTGTCACCCTGGAGCCTCCCTCAGGTCCTTCTCCCTTCCAATCAATCTCATTGGCTAGTGGGTATGGAATCCTCTTGCATCCGGGGCCTTTGGGGATTCTAAATTGCCACTCTAGCCATTAAGAATTCATTAAGATATCAGTTGTTTGCTTCTGATCTACTTTTGTGTCAACCAGCCCTTCATCCACACTCTGCCAGAGGACAAACAGTTCATGTGTTCTGTGTATCAATAGCATTGTCTTCCAATGCCATTACTATTAGAAATCAGTACTAGTTTACCTTGAACCTCAGCTCTCCAAAGGGCTCAAATGGATTTTGTTCACCATTTGGATTTTCCCATTGTCATGATGAAGTAATATTCTCCTTAGGACTCTATGTCCTAAGTGGAAATAGAAATTGTTTTAATATGGCTTTTGGACAGTTGAAGAATAAATTTCCTCTTCATTGTTTTGATTACAGCTAAATACATTTTATTCTCTATTAAGCCAACTTGTATAGCAAGATTACAGTTTCTTTCCTGTACAACTTGGTTTTATTGAGATTAATTGCTTTTTACTTTTCATTTGTGTGCTTTCTCTAAGACATATCTCAAAATAATTTTTCCCTGTATTCAGACCCGTCAGCCTACATATTCTTTTCTTCCATCTTTTTCTTCGAGGTCTCCCTTCTGGAACCTTCTTTTCTTCTGTCCCCTTCTGGATGGGATGTGTCCATGCTTCTTCAACCATCAGCCTGGGCCTTCCCTTCTCTTCACACATCATCTAGAGAATAGCTTCGCTTCTCCTGTGGTGAGGTTTCCTGTACTCTGTGTTTTCTTTTATGATTTACATCCTCATTTTTTGGGAGCACATCCTCTGATAGCATCTTAAGAAATGGTCCCTAGGGCCGGGGATTTAGTTCAGTGGTTCCGCTGCCTGCTGCGCAAGCGCAAGGACCCCAGTTCGATCCCCAGTACCAAAAAAAAAAAAAAAAAAAAAAAGAAATGGTCCCTGTTTACATTTGACCACATAAGAATTGATACCTAAAAACTCAATTGCCTGACTGAGCTTGATTATTGGTGAGGCTTTACTGTATGTTGGATCTTAGCCATTTCATCAAAGAACACTAAAATGTCAGTAGCTATAATGTACTTCTCTTGGAATGATCAATTCTTCAGAGAATTTTCTCTTGATTTGGGCCATAGACCTGGCTGCTGCAGCCTTCTGGAAGCTGAGTGGGAAAGAAGATGGGGAGGGGATTTGGCTTAATTTTTTATACCAAAATGCAGCTCCCATCTCCAACAATTCTCTGTGGTGCACCCTCTCCAGGAAGTGAACTTTATGTTGGAGTAGGACTGTGGATGGCAGAGTGGTGAGGAAGACTCCTGAATACCTCAGGCGGCACAGGGGATTTACGGACTAAATTGGACAATTAATTAATTAATTTTTGTTTTGTGGGGGGACAGGGTCTCACTGTGTAGTTCAGGCTGGCTTTGAACTCACTGTGTAGCCTAAGCCGGCCTTGGACTCACAGCGATCCTTCTGCCTCAGTTTCCTGAATGCTGGGATTACAAGTGTGTGTCACCATGCCTGGGAGCTGGACTCTAATGACACAGCCACCTGTTTTAGCCTCTTCCTTTATCCCCACTTCAGAAGTTTCCGGTGCCTCCAGCTCGCCAGTGTTTTCCAGGTGTTGAGGCTTGAACTAACTGGCTGCTTCTTGTCCCCTCCCCCACCTCTCCACACCCCTTCCACTGCAGGCACATGGGCTCAGCTTTTTAGCCTGACAAATTTGTCATCAGGTGGCCACTTGCTTCGTGACCTCCAAACTTTGCTGTCATCTCTGACCTCTGCCTTTGTCTTTTTCCCTACTGTTTCATCTGTGGTTCAGTGCCTGTTTTATTCATTCACTCTCATTTTGGTGAGGTCACAGGGGGTAGACATGAATTTGCTGTATTTAAGCAGAAGCTTATTTGTTCATTTTAAATTGAGGAAAATGAGGACAGAGAGACCTTTGATGAGTTAATGACAGGGTAGGATGGAATGCCATGTTTCTTGCTCCCACGAAGTTTCCTCCGGTTGGGGTCCAGGGGGCCTTTTGGGGGCATCTCAAGTTGAGCTGATGGCAATTATTAGTACTCAGACATGGAGTTAGAGACCTGATTTCAGCTACCTTCAATCAGAGTAAGACTCTTTGTCCCTCCCCTGTGCTTTGGCGTCCTCATCTTACGATACAAGGTCCCACCTCCAGGACAGACCAGGGGCCTGGAAGTCAGAGGTAGTTTTCACCATGATGACAATGGCTTCACCTTTTCCAGGGCAGGAGCCAGTTTTTGGAGAGGACCTGGTAAAGGGCATGGATTGCTGCAGGGCCCTTTTCTTCTTCCTGTGTCTTCTGACATCTCAGGGCACAACAGCAGGTAAGAGAGCTCCTCTGTGTGGGATGGCCCAGTCCAGGGTGTGGCTGAGATGCAGAAGGCGGAGACCTCAAGCCATGGGAGGTGGAAAGGGGCTACTTTGGTCTCCCGGGGGCAACAGCATTGGAGGAGCGTAAGAAGTCTCAGGTTGGGTCTCGAAGGCCTTGAGCTTGGGGGCAGAAGTGACTGAGGAGGAAGGCTGAGGAAGTCTAATTCTTGCTTCCCACAGAGATAACATCGAAAGAGATCTTCCGCTGGATGCAGAACATGGAGCGGCCTAAGGGCCGGAAACCACCTTCTCCTCATGAGTGAGTTGTCCTCATCTGTGCAGTCATCTTTATCTCCCACCCCAGGCCTACCCTCAACCAGTGGTCCAGGGCTGGTCTGGTGTAGACTCAATGTGCATGTATCTGGGCATGGTGGTGCATATCTGTTATCCCAGAACTCTGGGAGGCTGAGGTAGGAGAATGTAAAATTGAGCCCACCTTGGGCAACTTAGCAAGACTTTGTCTTAAAAACATCTGGGTTTGTAGTTTAGAGGCAGCGTGCCCCTGGTTCCTTCTCCAGTACCTCAGGGGGAAAAATCTGTGCTATATTCAGCATGCATTTATTGAATACCTATTGTGTGCATTCATTTATTGAGTACCTACGGTCTGCAGGATAAACAGTCACCACTCTCCTGGAGTTTATTGTCTAGGGTAGGGACCCTTAACCATCATGAAATCTAAGTGGGCCTCTGCATTTTCCGGGGTGGGGTGTCTGTGATTGTGGCTGGACTTTCCAGGGTCTGTGACCCTAAGACCAAGGAGCTCTGGGGAGAGACCAGTGTGGCTGACTTGCTGGGCTGACAGGTTACTTTGCTCTGTGGGTGGAGGAGCAGTCAGGGAACACTTCCTGGAGGAGATGACAGCAAACTGGGACGTGAACAGTAGTTAATCAGGAGAAGGGGACGGATGGAGAGGGGAGACCAGAGTGTGACAGGGTCTGGAGTGGGAGTGATGGGTTGGGGGAGGGAGGCCTTATCCTCCCAGGCTCTGAGCCCCATCCCCTGGCCCTGTGTCCTGTCCACAGCCAAGTCCATGGCCTGGAGCAGAGGCTGCTGAATGCCACCTTCCATGACAACACACTAAAGTTGAGCACGAACACCATCCAGTCTCTGGTCTTCAAGCTAGGCTGCAACTTCACTGGCCTCTCCCTGAGCAGCGCTGCCCAGGAGCGGGTCCCCCAGGTCAGAAGCCAGGGCATGGGGTGGCAGCTGCCTCTGCCCCAAATCCTGTGGGGATTTACAGTCCGAGCTTTCCTGGGGCCTTGCCGCCCTGCCCCAGCCCAGGCTCCTCCCAGACAGATGGAGCTGCCTCCTGTGCAAACTGAGAGGGAGCAACAGAGAGGGATGTGCTGGGGTTCTCAGAGACAGTGTTTTCTTCCTGCCTTTGGCTGGAGGCAGGTGGAGGGCAGGTCCCTGTCCCTTCTTAGCACCCTGGATGCCTGGTTAGTGCGGGGTGCAGGTTGGGGGAGATTGCTACTTCTTGGGGCCCCAGCTGGTGGAAAGAAAACCCAGATTCCAGGCTGGAGCAGCATGGTGGAAACCTGGGCTTGGAGAGTCTGGAGGAGAGGCTTCTGCAGGTGGTGGCTCCAGGAGGGAGCTACCCAGGGGAGCTGGGAAGATCTCATAGGGAGTGGGGCACCCCAGGAGTGGGGCCCATCTGGGGGCCCTGGACACTGGGCTCAGCCTGCCCATGGCTCCGACAGGCCCGGACCCTGCATGCCATGCACTTCCCTGCAGAGCTGACCCGGGACACCTGCTCGAGCCCTGCCCAGCCCAGGGAGCTGCGGCTCATCTGCATCTACTTCTTTACCACCTCCTTTTTCCAGGTCAGCAGAGGGCACAGAGGAGGGTGGTGCATACCCTTCCTGGGGCTCTGTAGGCATCCATGCACTGTGCCACCTGAGCTGGGCCTCAGTTTCCTTACCAGCTATAGGGAGATGTAATTTCAACCCACAGATGGGACTAAGAAACTCAATTTGTAGATGCCCGTGCAGAAGGCAGACACAAGGCATAAGGTCTCTATCCTTAGAGAACTCTCCAAGTGGACACCTAAACCAGGACCTTGGAGATGCAATGTTAGCCCAAAGTCACTTGTGACCATGGAGATATAAGGTGGAGGATGAGTAGGGGTGGGTTGGGCCCAGGAGGGCTTCTGGAGAAGGTGCCCTTCAACCTTGGCTTTGAAAGTGACGTGGTATAGCAGCAAGGTGAGGGGATGAGGCTGGATTGTGTCGGACAGATCAGAGGTGGGCAGGGGTGCTGAGCTGAGACCACACCTGGGAAGGCTGGGGCTGACCACCTGGACAAGTGGAGGCCATGCTGGCCTCTCATCAGGGGGGAGGGGCCTCCCCACCCCCCTCCATTCAGCCTTTCTGTGCTTCAGGATAACAAGAACTCATCCCTGCTCAATAACCTTGTCCTGGGGGCCCAGCTGGACCGAAGGCGTGTGAACAACCTTAGGGAGCCCGTCAACATCAGCTTCTGGCACAACCGAAGCCTGGTACTGTTGGGGGTGCCCTCATTTCCATCCCATCCCTGTCCCCTCTGTGCTGCCCTGTTGAACGTTGGTTTGGCTCCAAGAGTAGACTCAGTGTTCAAATTAGTTTGACTCAGAGCTGTAGTGTTATCTTGGAAATAAGCTGTCTTAAACCCATCCCACAGTGAAAATTCCTGCCAAAGAAATGAGAAAGAAGCTTTTGCTCATTGCATCCGTTCATCAGGATTCTTGATGGGCTTTCTTTCCTTTGTATGTGATTTGCTTCTTTTTTCTCACTGCTTGTAGAACTTTGTTCTTCTGTTGAGTTTCTGGAATCTGTTTACAATTATATGCCTATGTGTAGATTTTTTTTGATCAAGGCTCTTTGGAGTCCTATATGCCTCACTTATCTGTATGTCAAGCTCTTTTCCCCTGCTTAGGAAGTTTTCTGCCATTATTTCTGTGAAGAGATTTTTTTATGTCATCTACACTCTCTCCTGTTTCTTCATTGACTCCAATCAGTCTTATGTTATTCTTCTTTGCATCATCTAGCAGCTGCTGGATTGATTTCTCATGGTCCCTTATAATTTTGAAGCAATTTTTCTTTTTCTGGTCACTAATTGCAATCTTATCTTCTGTATCTGAAATTCTGCCCTCACATTGGCTCATTCTGCTGTGTAGACTTTCAATGGAGTTTTTCATGTCCTGGAAATCTATTTGCATCTGTTTTATGGATTCCATTTGTTTCCTATGTTGGGATTCCATCATGTTCCTGAGCTCCTCTCTAGATTTATTAATCATGTCTTGCACTAAGGGCACAATTTCTCCTGTTATCTGAGAAATTATTTCTGATTTCCTTTTTTCCAGATCCTCTTTTGTTGCCAGTTCAGTGGGTCCAGGTGGTTGAGTATCAGAGTGTTTCATCTCATTTCCCTTTGGGGTTGCTGTAGGTGATCTGGAAGTCTGGTTTTGAGACTTATTTACGTGTTTTCTCATTTCAACTGTGGGGGGGTGCTGTTGGCGCCTGCACGGATTACCTCCTCTGAGCTGGGAGAGGTGGGACAGGGGCCAGGAGCAGCGGTAGGGAGGGTGACCCAAAAGCCCTTTCCTGTGGGCTGGGAGCAGCGGGAGGGATGGTGGCTGGGCAGCCAATTCCTCTGGTCCAGGAGCATTGGGATGGCGCCTCAGAAGCCCCTACCTCTGGGCTGGGAGCAGTGGGAGGGATGGTGGCCCAGAAGCCCCTACCTCTGGGTCGGGAGCAGTGGGACTCAGTTCTGTGGTCTGGTGGTCCGGTGTCCTCTGCGTCTTTGTCGTGTGGAACCAGGTGGCTGTACAGAGGAGCGAGGGGTGGGGTCCAGTGGATTGTTGCCGGGGCGCGGGCTGATTCTGCGTGTTCCGCGCGACTCAGGACCTCGGTAGCGCGTGCGCAGACCTGCCTGTGTGCAGCGGGGTGATTCGGCGTGTTCTGCGTGACTCGGGACCTCCGTGGGGCATGCATCCATCAGGATTCTTTTAGTGGCCGTTGATAGAAAACCACCTCCAGCCAGTTTAAGCACAAAAGGAATTTTACTGGCTCACATCCATGAAATGTCCAGCGATTGCTTTGGTTTCATCAAGGCAGACTTTCTCCATCTCTCAGCAGCAGTTTCCTGCTTTGGTTTTCATTCTATGTTAAGGTGGATGCTGAAGTAACAGGGTTCCTTGCTCTTTTCCCAGAAGGCTCTTTCTCACCAGTACAAGTCAGGATTCAGGATCCCAAAGGTTCCCCTGGGTCACGTGCCTGTCCCTGAACTAGTCTCTGCCCAGGGAGATGAAATGTGGGAATTGGCCAGGCCTGGACACAAGGAGTTGAGGAGTGCACTCCCAGAGGGAGTGCAGGTGCAGATGCTGGCCACTGGGTGGATATAAGCCCGATGCCCCTGCTTCCCTGTCCCTGGCATCCCTGAAAAGCCCAGAGTGCTAGTTTGCTTTCTACCCTGAAGCCTCGTGAGGACTGCTCTACACTATTTTTTTTTCTTTTTGGTACTGAGAATTAAACCCAGGGTGTTTGCACTAAGAGTCATCGTAAGCCCTTTTAAAAAAATTTGTATTTTGAGACAGTCTCACTAAGTTCTCAGATGGGACTCGAACTTGTGATACTCCTTCCTCAACTTTCCAAAGTCCTCCTGCCTCAGCCTCCCAGGGTGCTGGGATTATAGGAGTGCACCACCAGTGCTCAGCTTCTGTATTCTTTACTTCACCACCATCCTTTGCTTGCAACTGCTGGGCTTTGCCACTGCAGTACCTTCTGCTGGAATGAAAATCAAGTCTTTCAAAGCCGTGGCACCAGCCTTCACCCTGCAGTGCCCTGGTATGGCCTTGTGTCATTTGTCCAGCCCTCCACTACCTGGGTGGCTGCGACAGAGTCTCCCTGTCCTGTCCTGGGCCTGGGCAATGGATGCTCCCTACTGACTGGGAGGAGGGAGAAGGGACAGCTGACCATGGGCACCTACTTGGTGCAAGGCTATCGGAGCCCTCATGATGCCCTAGCACCTTTCATTTCCTTCCAACTTTTGGCCTGGGTCTGAATGCCCCCACTTTTCAGATTGATAAACTGAGGCTCAGCAAAGTCTGCTGGCTTGCCCAGGTCCCTCTAAGAGCCTGTGGTGGAGATGGGGCTGGCCTGGGACAATCACAGCCCAGCCAGTGCCTGTCAAGTGTTGACAAGGGTGCATTTGAGTCTCCTTTGGCTCAGGGGACCCCGACATCCTGATCTGTGGCCTCTCTCTGCACCCCTGGGACTGACCCTGCATCTCCCCTCAGGAAGGCTACAGTTTGACCTGTGTCTTCTGGAAGGAAGGAGCCAACAAGCACCGCTGGGGGGCCTGGAGCCCTGAGGGCTGTCACACAGAGCAGCCCTTGCCTTCCCAGGTGCTCTGCCGCTGCAACCACCTCACCTACTTCGCTGTTCTCATGGTAGGTGCACTTCTGGCCTGGGAGAGGGGTCAGAGCTGTAGAGGGCCCAGGGTCTGTGGCAGAGGGAAAGGCAAAAGCTGGTGTTAGGGACAGAAAATCCAACTCAAATTGGCTTAAGACACACACACACACACACACGCACACACACACACACAGGCTCATGTTCCTGAAAAGGCTGGATTAGGCTTCAGGAAAGGCTTGATCCAGAGGACTGAATATTACTAAGACAGGACTTTGTTCCTCAAACTGTTTTTGCCCCATGCTGGCTTAGCCCTCAGGCATGATCTCCCCTCTGGATAATAATATGACTGCCAGCAATTCCAGGCTCATCCTCTGGTAGCTTTCAGCCCAATGGGATCACAGCCTCTATTACCCTTTTCTGCCAGCCAGAGTCTGGGGAGTGAGTCCTGTCGGCTTGATGTGTGTCATGTGCTCGTCTCTTGAGCCAATCTGTACAGGCAGGAAGGGGAAGGGCTCTGATAGGCCCCTGTCCACACACCTGTGTGCACACAGAATGGCAGAGGGTTGTTTTCACTGAGGAAGGGGGCATGAAAGCTGTGGAAGGCAGAAGTTACTGCATCTCCCATGGCCTCAGTCATGCTAGGACTGGGCTGGGCTGATGGGCTGGGCTGAAGATGAGGTCCTCCTGATGGAGCCTGGGAGGGTACCTCTACGTTTCGGGCCTGCAGCCCCCATCCCTCCCACAGCAACTGTCCCTGGCCCCGGTCCCTGCGGAGCTGCTCGTGCCTCTCGAGTACATCTCCTTCGTGGGCTGCAGCATCTCCGTTGTGGCCTCGCTGCTCACCATCCTGCTACACCTCCATGCCAGGTAGCCCCTGCCTCATCCACTGTTGGTCCACCCCTGCTTTCCCACCTGGGCTCCCGCTCAGCCTTGAAGACCAGTGGCTGCTGTCCTGCCCTGTCCACCTCAGTGTTGCCATCATTGTGCATCTGTGAGTCTGGGGGGGGGTCACTGCTGGGTGATGTCCCCAGGCCATGCTCTCTCCTGCAGGAAGCAGAGTGACACCATAAGACACATCCACATGAACCTGCACATCTCCGTGCTGCTGCTGAATGTCACCTTCCTTCTGAGCACTGCACTGGTGATGCCCTCTGGGGCTGCATGTGTGGCACTGGCCGCCCTCCTGCACTACGCCCTGCTCAGCTGCCTCACCTGGATGGCCATAGAGGGCTTCAACCTCTACCTTCTCCTGGGGCACGTCTACAATGTCTACATCCACCGCTACATGCTCAAGCTCTGTGCCCTGGGCTGGGGTGAGCCAGTGCCCTCCCCTCATGCCTACCAAGGCCTCCAGTGGACAGGGAGTTGACCCTTCATCCTGTCTTGGTCATCAAAGTGACCCATCTGTAAATGCAGCCATTATCCCTTTCACACCCACTACTGCTTTCCATAGTACTAGTTTCATCAGCACCTCCACCTCCAATAGCACCATCTCCACCTCCTCCAGCTTCAGTAGCTCCATCACCTCTACCTCCAAACCGCCACTGTAGTCGCTTCCTTCACCTCCATGTCCAACCCACCATTACCACCTCCACCCCACCCCCAACACCCCCATCCCTATGTCCACTTCCAACAGCAGCACCTCTGCCATAATCTCCACCAACTCCATGCTGCTTTCCCTGTATTCCATCATCACCTCCATCCTCACCCTCATTGCTGCCACTGTCTCCATCACCATGGGCACCACTTTCACCATCTTAGCTCCTTCCTTTATTGTTTCTATTTCTTCACCAGGTCCTTCCCTCTGTCCCACTATTCCTGCCACCATGTCCCCATTGGGAGCACCGCTACAGCCACTCCCATTCTGTTTTAGAGCTGTCATTAGGGTCACCTTGGAGAAGGGTCAGGAAAGCCCCTGAGTTCAATCCCTAATGCCACAAAAAACAAAAACTCTGTCTCCAAGCCCTCTAGCTCATTGCTCTGAAGTTGGACCACATGTAGGCACTGGAGCTCAGCCAGTCTCCTTCCTCCTCCCCTGCCCAGTGAAGTTCACTGTTCCTAGTCCCAGGGACTGGGCCAACCCTCTCGGGCCTCCTGACCCTTTGTCCCACTCCAGGGGTCCCAGCGCTCCTGGTGCTGCTTCTCCTCGCTGTCAAGAGCTCAGTGTATGGACCCCATGCGATCCCCGTCTCCTACAGCCAGGAAAATGGCACAGTCTTCCAGAACATGTCCATGTGAGTGCCCCAGCAGGGCAGAAAGGGCACCCAGGCCCAGTACTCGAGAAGGTGTCTCGTAGGCAAGGCCCTGGCTGAGGGGCAGAGAGGGAGCCACGGCTTAGACAGGGCAGGCTTCAGGAGACTTTGCCCACCCCTTCCGCAGGATCCCACAGGTAGAGGGTTGTGTTCTGTGCTGGCTGACTCTAGGGAGCCACAGGACAGATTCCAGCACCTGCTAAAGCCTCTAGGTCCTGGTGGCACCTGGCCACCCAGCCGGCCACCCAGCACAGTGTCACCCTCTAGCTGCGGGCTGCTGTGTGGTTTGGCCCACACCTGACGGTCTGCCTTCAGACTGCTAAGTTTTGCTGGCACCTGAATGGGCACAGGGCATTGCCAGGCCCCTCAAACCCTTCTGGTGGGAGAAGAGAGTATGCTTGGGGCTGGTGCTGGGGCTGGGTACGCTGTGGGGTCAGGGATCAGCACACGCAGGGCTTGGGGGAGGCTGCAGAGATGGGCCTGGGGGCGGGGCCTGACTGCCGCCTCCTCCTGTGTCCTGGGGCATTACGCCTTTTGTTACCAGGCCACATTTCCGACCACTGACCTAAGAAACTGCCGTGGCCCTCTAGCTTTCATAGTCCTTTTTGGCCAACACCAGCTCAGGTTGGCCAAGGGCTGCCCTGTGATGGCCTGCTCACTGCTTGGCCAGGTGGCCCTGTGATCAGCCTTGTTTTACAGTAAGAGCAATTGAGGCACAGACTATTTAAGAGCCAGCCCAAGGAGAGCTAGGCACGCAGCGCAGAGCTAGAACTTGGTCACAGGCAGCTGGCTCTAGAGCCACGGTCCCCAACCTCTGTCCCCCATGTAGCTTCAAGAGTCACTGAGGGCTCAGAGCCAGGTTGGGGAGGTACAGCCAGTACCCTCACTGGGAGATTGGGTTGGTGTCTCCAAGGACAAAGATGTATTTTATTATGGAATGTGGTGTGGACAAAAGAGCAGGCGTGGTGGCACATGTCTACGATCCCAACACTCTAAGAGGCTGAGACAGGAGGATTGCAAGTTAGAGTCTCGCCTGGGAAAATTAGAAACTTAGAGGACCTCTCTCAAAATAGAAAATAAAAATGGGCCGGGATGTAGCTCAATACGAAGGCCCTGTATTCGTTCAATCACTGGTTAAAAAAAATAGGGCTTAAGCGACATGTTCACAAGACAGGAAGCACGTAATGTGTGAATGTCAGGGCCCCACCATAGGAAACGGCCTTCCCCTGAGGCTTCCTCACCTCCACACCTCAGGAAACCATTACCCTGGCCTCTGAGACTTATGCTTCTGCAGTTTAAACATCACTCACTACGAACATATGCGTTCCACAACATGAATGACAATTTTAAAAACAACCCTTGAGCTGGGCACATGCATATGGTCCCAGTACTCTGGGAGGATGAGGCAGGAGGATCACAAGTTTGGGCCCAATCTGGGGAATTTAGTGACCCAGTGAGAGCCTGTTAAAAAAAAAACTCTTGAGCATAATTCAGCTGTCCACTGGTGGGACGTGGGATTCATCAACTTCGGCAGAACATTATTTAGCCGAGAGAATGAAGGCTCCACACTGTGCTCATTGACACGGATGAGTCCTCAGAATGAGGTTGGTGGATGCTGTGGCTGCAGCGTCAGGAGCCCATGCTGGACACTTAGCAGGGACTGGGACAGTGAGAGGCACGAACTCTGGGCTCAGACCAGAGCTTCAAGTCCTGCTTTAGTCTCTTAGTAGTGTGTGTTTTGGAGCCAGAACCTGTTTCCTCATTTGTGGAATTGGGCTGGCTAGGTTCAAGGGTCATTGCCATGGGGATTGAAGGGACAGCCCATGACATAAGGCACCTGACCTGGTGTCCCACTGGGGTGAGAGACAGCACCCGTCAAGAAGGCATTTGGAGGAGGGCGTAGGTCAGGTCTGGGCCAGTCAGGTCTCTGGCTATGCCGAGCCCTAGGGGACAGGTTCCCTGCCCTGCACCTGTGCCCACACTTGCATGGAGGCAGCCCTCACCAGCTGCTCCGGAAGGGCGCCCTGGCCCAATCTGGCCCGGAGAAGCTTCTGCAGAAGGAATATGGGGGCACAGAGAAGGGGATAAGATGGTGACAACCCTGTGGGAGGGTAGAAGGCAGGTTTCCAGGAGAGAGGCCCCAGACCCATGACCCAGTAGGCTGTGGTACACAGTGGCACGATGCTGGCTGTGCAGAGGGGAGGAGTTGGGTGGAGAAGGAAAGAAGGAGAGAGTTTTCAGCTGGGGAAAGCTAGCCGGAGAGATGGGTGTGGCTGAAGACTGGGTGCAGGGGTGCTTTGGAAAGATGCCAAGGTGGGAGGTAGGCCCTAGTGTGGTGGCCTTGCTGGAAAGCTAGACCGAGGGCTTCACCATGTGTACTCTTGGTCAAGAAACAATGGTCTGAGTGGCGAGATGGACACATTGAAAGGACAGGCTGCAGCTGGGTATGGTGGTGGTGCCTGCAACCCCTGTACTTTGAGAGGCTGAGGCAGGAGGATTGCAAGTTTGAGCTCAGCCAGGGCAATTGAGTGACTTAGTGAGATCCTGTCTCAAAATAAAAAAATAAAACAAACAAAAAGGGCTGGGGGTGTAGTTCAGTGGGAAGATCTTGGGTTCCAATCCCAACAACAACAGAAAGGAAGGAAGAAAAGAAAAGAAAGAAAGAAAGAAAAAAAGGGGGGCAATCTAGGAGCCCGAGTGCACCTGGCCCCTGCTGGCATTAGAGCCACCTGACCCTGGGGCTCTGCTTGTATTCCGCAGGTGCTGGGTGCAGAGCCCTGTGGTGCATAGTGTCCTGGTCATGGGCTACGGTGGCCTCACAACCCTATTCAACCTGGTGGTGTTGGTCTGGGTGCTCCATGTGCTGCGCAGGCTCCAAGTACAGAAGAAGGTGCTGGGCCCCAGGGCCTGCCGGGACACAGTCACTGTGCTGGGCCTCACTGTGCTGCTGGGCACCACCTGGGCCTTGGCCTTCTTCTCCTTCAGCGTCTTCCTGCTGCCCCAGCTCTTCCTCTTTACCATCTTCAACTCGCTGTACGGTAGGCAGAGCCTGTGGGGCTTGCAGGGAGTCCACCAAGGGTGTAGAGGGGTGGCAGGGTGTTCACTGCCCAAAGGGCAAACATGGGGCTGAGTCCACAGCTCCACTTGCCAGGCTGGCGGGGGGTAGATAGGGCTCCATCCAACCTGCAGGGCCAGTGGTGGGTCTCAGGTCTTGGGGTCACCTCTTCTGTCCCCCAACAGGGAGAAGTTCTTCAAGGGCCGCAGGGAGAGGGCCGCAGGGAGGCCTTGCTCATCCTAGCCATGGAAGTCCTTGGGTTCTGGGTGAGGCTCTTGGCTGCTCAATGACTGGCCTGTCACTCTACCTTTTCTTGCAGGTTTCTTCCTCTTCCTGTGGTTCTGCTTCCAGAGGTACCACTCAGAGGCAGAGGCCAAGGCAGAGATGGAGGTGTTCAACTCCTCCCAGACAGTGCACTAATCCAGGCCTCCTGGCCTGGAGTCCCAGCCTTGCTGGAGCCTGCAGCCTGAGGCCCTGGCTCCCCCCAGAGACTGGCCATCAGATGCCCCCATTCCCTCTGGGGACCCTTGACCAGCTCCATGGCTTCCCCAGGCATGCAGGGAATGCAGGGGCTCTGGCCTCCCCTGACCTGCTGCAGGGCAGCCCTGGCCCCACCTGGGGGCAGCACAGCTGGCCAAGCCTGTAGGCAGACCACGGCCCAAATGCCATTCTAAGGCCTGGCTCTGAGTCTCACTGTGTGACCTTGGGGCTGTCATCTCTCATGGGCCCTCAGCCTCTACGTCTGTGACATGGAAGGAAGAGGCTCTGGACCTGCCTAACCCAGCAGCTTTGTGAATCATGAAGAAGATGGGGGGTGTCAGTGGGAGTTCACTCCATGACCCCCATCTGCTGCTGAAGGCTGGATTTCTACCTTCCTCCTGGCCCCTGCCCGGCACTTAGCGACCCAGACACCAGCCTATGCCTACGGCCGCTTTTCCTTTGACGCTGAAATGATGACCACTTCAGCTCTCAGGCCACCTTTCCCAAAGACTGAGAAGCCCAGTCCTTCCCAGAGCCGCCTCCTCCAGTGCTCGGAGATCCCCACAGCCTTTTAGACCAGCAGCCCAGGCCAAGGGCCTTCTCAGGGTGGGAGGGATCGCTGCTTTCTCTCCAGCTGAGCCCCCTGGGCCTCAGCGACCTGGCTGAGGATGACTGGGCTGGTAGATAGTGGGCCTGAGGGTGAGGGTGCTAGGCCCCAAGTTCTGGCCACATCCACAATCCTCGTTGTCCTAGACCTGGCTGTCAGAGCAAGTGAGAGACAATGCTCACGAAGCCGGTGCTTTTCCCAGGATGGACACCAGGGGGCGCCGCTGGCCTGTGCGCAGAGGCATCGGCCGCAATTGCAGCTGGAAAGGCTGCCTTCACCTGTCTGGATCTGACGCCCAGGCTGTCACCGCCAGGACTGCACCTACTGAGTGACCGCAGGAGGAAACTCTAACCCTGTTCACACATGCAGTTGTCTCTTCCCCCAGTGCAGCTGTCCAAGGTCACTCTCTGGGGCTTGTGCCCAGACTGGCTGGGCCAGACTCTCAGGGACCCACCCAGGCCATTAGATTTTATGACCTTGAACCACACAGTGTGGGAATTGGAGCTGGATCCGTGTCCTCACAGGGGTTTCCTTTGCTTGTCTGTACATTTCTGGATGCAAATAGCTCCTTACCAGCTGGTGAGTGGTGCAGGCTCTGGGGCCAGGCTGCCCGGGTCCCAGTGCCAGCTCTGCCACTTGCTAGCTGTGTGATGCAGATGAGTCTCTAAATCTTTCTGTGCCTTAGTTTCCCCACATGTACAATAGAGACAATAGTAATACCTATTTTGAAGATTCAGTAAAAGAATCCATATATAGGGGCTTAGCCCAGAGTTAGTGTTCAATACATGGTTATTACTATTTTGTGATTATTATTAACAGTGTTAACTGGGTCTCAGAGGCCCCCCTGCCTCACCCCAGGCCCAGGTCTGTTCACCTTGCCCTTCCTCTCCCTCTAGCCTTTCCGGCCCCTGCTGTGCTGGGAGTATTCCCCACTCAGGGCAGCTTCCAGGCTGTCACCAAGTCTCCTGTCCCCCAGCCTCTGGTGGTCCTGGTATTGTGTCCACCTGCTCCACAGAGAAGGCCTCTTTCCCATTCTGACTCTGGGCAGTGTGATGTAAATCCGCATCAGAGCACCCTAAGTTTAGCTCCCCAGGCCTTGGGGTGGGTCCCCTGACTGTGCCCAAGAGGGTGCTGAGGTTTCACAGCAACTCAGACAACTCCGGGAGAGGTGACCAAGGGTCCCACGCTGGCTGCCTCTGCAACCCCATGAAGCAGGGCCCTGCTGATTACACCCAGCCTGATCTCAAGACCCTGGAAAGTCTGAGGGAGGGTGTGGCACACTGACATGGGATGGTCTAGAGGTTCCCAGAAAGGCCCCAGGCTGTGGCCTTGAGATTTATTGGGGTCCAGGCTTGGGTGGGGACCACTTCCTGGAAATACACTAGTGAAGGGTTGGTGGCAGGGATGCAGGGAGGCCACACGGTGTCCCCTAGGGTCCCCTCCCAGTCGAGTCCCGGCCTAGCCCAGACAGGGCATGGGGGCCAGCTCTTGGGGGCTTCTGGGAAGACAGAATGGGGTAGATTCTGAGGGCCAGGCTCCCTGTGGTGGCACTTGGACAGCGGATGATGGGAAGATGCTGAGGGGCCAGCCATGAGCGGTCTCGTGTGGCTTGTTTCTGTTATTCCAGAAAGGTGTGAGTTGGAGCACTGTTGAAAGAAGGATTTCCAGGAGCAATACAGGAAGCCCAATTTTGGAGACAAATTTACCCAAAAAATGATTCATAGTTTCTCTGAAATTCAAATTGCACTGGGTGTCTTAAACATCTATTTTTATTTTGGCTAAGTCTGGCAACCCCACTTGAGAAGAGCACTGTCTCAGAGTTCGGGCTGCGGATTCTTTACTCCTCAAATCAAGCCAAGCAGTGCCAAGCAGGCAGTGGTGTTACCTGTCATGCCAGGTCCTCACTCTCAGCCCACTCAACTGAGGCTTCTCCTTGTGTTCCCATTTCCAGCCAAGACCACCATCAGAACCCCTAGGAGCCCACCCTGGTGCCCACAGCACCCCATCAGCACCTCCCGCAGAGCCTCCTCACAGCTCTCCTTGCCTCCCAACTCCAATTCCAACCCAGAGGCCAAAGGGCATTTTCCATCCTGCAGCCCACCACATCTTGCACCCTTGAACCCCTTCCACACCCTCCTTCCTCATTGCCAAGCTGCCCAGGGGGAGCTTAAAGGCCCAGAGGGCCTGGCCTGTGCCTCCTTCTCCTGCCTGTCTGCCCCTACACCTGCCTTGTCCTTCTCCGGCCTGCCTCCCAGAACTGCTTTCAGGTCCTGGAATAGCTTCTTTCTCATCTTTGGGCCACTTTCTCTGGCACACTCTCCCCTGTGCCGTGCGTTTGTGGAAGGATGACGGCATATCCTTAAAGTCTCAGCTTTATACAGCCCCACTCCCCACCAGGCTGGACCAGGACATGGTCCCTGACTCCAAATCTGGGGCAAGGCCCTCTTTTGAATCTCTTCCCCCGTGACTATGAAGTTATTTTCCATATTACAACTGTCCCCGTCTGTCTCACCCACCAGATTGGGAGTGTTTTGCAGACAGGTGCTGTCTCATTTGCTCATTCATCCATCACATAATTGTTAAACACGTATATTTTTGGGCACTGTGCTAGTTGCCAAGGACATATAAATGAGCAAGTCATCACATTTTAGTGTGTATGAGTGTCATACAATAAGCAATTTAGGAAATAAACAGAAGATATGACAGGTGGTGACATGTGCTATGGAGGAGGATAAAGCAGGGAGAGGGAGAGAGTGGCAGGGGACTCTACACTGGGTTTCAGCAGAGAGACAGTGGAGGGCAATCCCGGGGTGCTGGGTTTGGGGGTGCAGGAGAGAGTCAGCCAGCTGGCCTCAGGTGACTGCAGCCTAGAGGGGAGGGCTAGAGTCCCACAGCCTTTTGTCCACTTGGTGGCGGTGGACTTCGAGAGCACTGAAGGTGAGCCTCTTCTGAGATAAAGCTCTTGGGACTGGGTGGCCCCAGGTTGGGGTACCCTTTTTTTTTTGGTACCGGGGATCAAACTCGGGTCCTTGCACTTGCAAGGCAGGCAACAGAACCATTGAGCTAAATCCCCAGCCCTGGGGTACCCTCTAAGAGGAAGCAAACTCAATGTGGAGGAAAACTTCCCTAGTTGGGCCAGGAGGATCCCACAGAGTGTGAGAAAGCAGTAAGCTTCTGTACAAAACTCTCCAGTCTCAGGAGGTTGGCCGCCAGGAGTGAGAGTTGACAGAAATGAAAGAAATGCAGGTTTACAGGGGAGATGTTTAAAAAGAGAGAGACAAGTACAAAGATGAGCATATAAAACAAGTAGAGTTAAAGAGAGAGATGTGGGAGAATGTGAAACTCCTAAAATGAAAAATGTTATTCAAGATCTGAAATTTAATATAGTTGAATAGAGAATTAATGAGCCAGAAGTTATTTATAAAGAATGAAGGAAAGAGGGGTAAAAAGTTGGATAATATAAAGAATGATTCAGAGAGATAAAGAATAGAATGAGAAGATCATATATATATTTGTGTTCCAGAAGAAGAAAATAAAGGAAATGGAAAATAGGCAACATTCGAAGATAAAATGGCATTAGCTTTTCTAGGAGTGAAGAAAAACAGATCTATAGGACCAGGAAGCACAAAGTGTCTCTGGCATAATATATAAAAATAAATTCATGCTTATACACATTTTATGGAAACTACAGAGTGCCAAAGGCAGAAGAAGATGATGAAAGCCATCACTGAGAAAGGACAGATTGTCTCCAGGGGGATGACAAAATGTGAGCCAACTTCTCCAAAACCATGACAGAGACTAAGTCTGGAATTACATCTTTAAAGTGAAGAACAAATAAAGGTCAGTTTAGAATTATGACCAACAAAAGAAACTTTCAAGAATAAAGACAAAAGAAAAAAAATACATTTCTTTTTTTTTTTTTTTTGGTACTGGGGATAGAACTTGGGACCTTATGCTTGCGAGGCAGGTGGCAGCACCACTGAGCTAAATCCCCAGCCCAAATACATTTTTAAAAACATTTATAGGTAAATAAAAGCTGAGAGGTCTAAAGAAACTTCAAAAAGGTGTACTTCAAGAAAGAAAATGATTCCAGAAGGTCATCCTGAGATATAAGAAGAGGGATAAGCATAGAAAATGGAAAATGTAGGGAAAGCCCATAAAAAAATCATCTACGTGAAATAAAAATTTATCTTTTTTTCCCTCCTCCCTCCTTCTATCCCTCCCTTGCTTTTCCCCCTTCTTTTTCCTTTCCCTTTCCCTTCCCTTCCTCTCCCTTCCTTTGCCCTTCTTTCCCTTTTTTTTTTTCACAGTACCAGGGATCGAACTCAGGACCTTGAGCTTGGGAGGCAGGCAGTGGCACCACTGAGCTAAATCCCCAGCCCCCTTCTTTCCCTTTCTACCCCCTTCTCTTCCTTTCCTCCCTCCCTCCCTCCTTCTCTCCTTCCTTCCTTCCTTCCTTTCTTCCTTCTTTCCTTCCTTCTTCCCTTTCTTCCACACTGGAGATTGAAGCCAGGCCCTTGGACACACTAGCAAGTGCTGTGCTACATAGCTACACCCCCAGTCCTGAAATGACCATTTCACTTGTGATGTGAAAGAAAAGCTGATCTGAAATGTTGGAAAACAATAGCATGGAAGTCAGGAAGGTAAAGACTGTACTCCAATGTTCTAAATCCCTTGTATTTGGAGATTAAGGAGGGTGTCAAAGTACTGCTTGCCATTAGTGCTATGGTTTGGATACCATTTAAACGTACTCCCCAAAGGTTCATATGTTAAAGCACGGTCCCAAGGATCGTGTTGTTGATAGCTGGTGGAATCCTTAAGAGAGGAGGCCTAGTGGGAGGTATCAGGTCATGCAGGTTTCATCACTCTTGAAAGAGATTCATGTTCTCACAGAACCCCAGTTAGCCCAAGAGAGTGTGTAGTTATGAACAGAGCAAGTCTTTCCTGCTCTGGCTTTTCCTGTCTTAATAGATGATCTTATCTGTACATGTGCCCGCCTCTAAGGTGTCATCATCACTGTGAGACTCTCACCAAAGGGCCAGTCAATGGAACTACCTGGTCTTGGACTTTCAGCCTCTGAAACTATGAGTAAAATAAACCCTTTTTTCTTTGTAAAATATGTAGACTCAGGTATTTTGTTTTAACAATGGAAAACAGCCTAACACAATTAGATGTTGTTAATTAAATATACATAGTAAAAACTTCAAGAATAACTACTACGAAAATAATACTAGAATTTATATATTTTGTTCTAATGGAGAGAAAAAGTGACATAGGAAAAGCAAAAAATAACAGTTAAAAAAAAGGCAAGAAGAGAGAAAAATAAACAGAGAAATTGGGACTAATAGAAATCCAAAAGTAGGCTAGTACAAACTTATCTAAATATATCAATAACTATAATAAAAACAAATGGACTCACCTGTAATCCCAGCTACTCAGGAGCCCAAGACAGGTAGATTGAAAGTTTGAGGCCAGCCTGGGCAACATGGGAAGACCCTATCTCAAAAAATAAAATACATGGGGCCGGGGACTTAGCTCAGTGGTTTTGCCGCCTGCTGTGCAAGCGCAAGGACCTGAGTTCGATGCCTGGTATGAAAAAAAACCCAAAACAGTGAAAGGACTAAACTGGCTAGTTAAGAGGTAAGAGGTAAGAGGTATTAAGATTGGATGCATAAACACAATCCAGATATGTAGGGTTCATAAGAAGCACTAAGAAAAGAACATGGAAAGTTTCTAAGTAAAAGGATAAATCAATATA